CTTATATTCGTTTTTTTTTATACTTTTTACACGTATCGTTCATAGTCGTTCTAAAGAGCTGGAGGATTAATACTCCTGAAGAAAAACAATTATTTTCGACAAATCCCAAATTCAGAATAATTTTTGCGTACGAATAGGACTTATTATGGAGAAAGTGGCACGTCAAATGATGGCAATATGACCAGAACGTTTCTTCAAACGCCGAAATCAGCAGCTTAAAATAACCGGTATTGATGAAGACCTTATAATCGGCTGTTCAATATTTCTGCAATGTTTGGCATCAGGTTACAAAATCAGTGCGGCAAAATTTGGAGAATATGCACTTGATACTGCCAGAAAGCTGATTAAATTGTATTGTATTGTATGGTACTTTCTTTCACCATCCGTACACAAGATTTGGGTTCATGCTCCAGATGTCATAAATTATGCAGTTGTGCCGGAGAACTATCAAAAGAAGCTGCAGAGTCTAAAAACAAGGACATCAAAATTTTTAAAAGGCAGCACACCCAGAAGACTTTCGGATTGACACAAATACAGATGCACAGATTACTTCTGAGCTCAGATACCTATATTACTGGCCAAAGAATGCTCAGTTTTATCAGCGTCAGCACTTGAACTAATCGAAAAATTCAATTTAATTTAATCTGTTTTTATTACTTACTTTGTGTTTTCGTATCTTTTTATGTTTTTTTTTTATTGTCATGTAATTTTTACGTTATAATCTAATCTAACGGATTAATAATTGTGAGCGAATAAAAACCACGCTTTTTCCTTTTAAAATATTATATTAATGAAATAATACTTTAACAAAAAAGTTTGAGACTATATTTAAAACTATTTTATACAATTTTGGGGAAATTTTCGTTAGGAAGCTAAAAGCTTTTTGATCCCGGCTCCCAAACAAGCTCAACCACCGTGCTTTGCCACCTGAAGATATAAAAGAAAAGAACTTTCATTTAAGCAAGGACTGAAAATAAAGTTCGATTTGGGCACGACGTGGGAACAAGTCTAATTTGAATTCAGATACATCTGTAAAAACTACGAAGCTCAGAATCTCTGGCCTTAGCCAGGTTTCTGTGAACATAGAACATAGAACCGCGAAACAAATATATGTCCCATACGTGGAACAGCTATTTTAACTTTTGGCTAGGCAGACGGTTATCTATCCTGCCATTGTCGACCGGTAGTCTTGGGCTAACAACCTGGGTGGGTACATTTATAGTTAGGTGCTTTAAGGGGTCATTGGGGGGTCCCACCAAGGGACAAAAGCGATATCTCCGGGGGCACATTCGGGCACAGAATAAGATAAGATAAGATAAGATAAGCGACACAGTAAGATTGAGAGAGCGGGGGAGTGAGTCAACTTGGGTGTATAAAAACAATTGCAGGTGTCGTGACGGCACAGACAACGGGTAAAAAATTTATAAATAAACTCAATTAAATACATAAATAAGAACAGCTGCATGCACACGCGAAGTGAACGGGAAGTTTTTAAAGAAAAGATAGAAAATTTAAATTGAAACCCTGGGGGTTTATGCAAATTTAAACACAAATCGAGAACAGTCGAGAATTGTGAAGTTGCTTCCAAACATTCAGATTCAATGGCAAACTCACCTCGAGGCTTTGTAATCACCAATTAACAAAGATCAGATCTATTTTGTTGGTGATTCGGCAGTTGAACTACCTCAGAGTTGTGCAATTTATAAAGAACTAGACTATCTATGGCTATCACATTAATATAATGATGGTCATTCCGACGATAGGTTTGCTTACAAGTCAACATTTATTTTTCGGTCCACAATAAGTTTTAAGTGCTTATTGAATCAACCTAGTGATTTAAATGCTAATTCAGCATAAACACCTTTAGGTGCAATGCCTGTATTCCATTGGTTCCCGGTATGGTGAGTTGTGCTCTTTTTGCTAATGTCAGCACTTTGGCCTGACGAGCGGCCGCCTTGCCGGCCACGCATAGCTTGAATACACCTAATAAGTTTCAGTTTTGATTGCATTGTAATAAATTATCTCGGTTTAAGGGCAGATAGCAACAGTGTGAAGTGTGAAGATGGCACGCCCCGTCGCACCCCGTGTGAAGGGCAAATGCAAAACACAATTGCAAAAAACTGCGACATACTGTTACACGCAGTAAAGTCAATTCCAGATTTTACGGACATACAAGACGAATACGTAGTATGAAGGCAATCCATAATTATTTGAACCATATCGAGCACTAACGCACAAATCCAAACCGCCCCTATTATAAAAAACAAAATTAAGAAGAAGAAAAGAAAATTGACCACTGTTGACTAAGATCCTCATGTCACATGACACTGAAAGGGTCTCAATGCTCAATGCTGAGGCTATTGAATTATTTCAGGCTTCCAGCACAGCCCAAAGATCTGTCAGCATCACTGGCACTAGATAGGGAGGCAGAGGTCAGCATTGAACGAGGTATGTTCACGGCCACATATGCCAAAACGGTCAAGCAGAGGAGTCAAAATACTGATTTCCACAAGGACCAACACCTCTGTAGCGTCCGTCTCCTTCTTTTTCCAACATGTGACTCAGCAATGCCTCCAATAGGAATACTATTTTCCTGATTCCAAAACCACGTGCCCTGCTTCTGGCCAACGATGTCCTGCTGCTTCCGCTCTGCACCTTTCTCGTATTCTCCTCTGCTCGTCCACCTTCTGATCCTATCTAGTTTGATCTGCTTTTGATCTTCCTCCTCCAGCCCTTAGCAACATGATTTGGTGATTTCGTCTACAACCTTGGCCAATACGTTCTTATCTGCGTGCTCCGTTAACGCCATAACTCCAGTGTCTTGTCTGTTATTGTCTTCCTTCTGCTTTTCCCACTGAATATGCTGCTTCTTGAACTTCTGATCCTGATCCAATGCATTACCAATTGGTCACCGCCACTCGGTTTCGCCGTCGTCCCTCGCTGCTTCCATCACACTCGCCCATGTGTGTATCTGCCTTTTTGCCTGATGAAATTCTTTACTATCGCTGTCTCTATCACTTTTTGACTAATTTGTAGTTCTGTAGTTAGAGCTGAGCTCCGCCTCATCTTCAGTACCGCCCCGTTTCAATCAGGTACGCTAGAATGCAGTCACTGACTGTCTCCCTACAATCCCTAGTGACCCGAGCTGGTGAGGTCCAAAGTGGTTAAGCGCTAGGCAGTGCCCTGGTGTCTCCTGCTCTCCCGATACCTTGCAACTTCTGCAGTGCGTATTATAGGGTAGCGCATCTTGCAGATGTGCGGGCTTGTGATGGTTGCCATTATCCATCTGATAATGTCTTTTTTAATCTTGGAGATCAGCTCCCCAGTTCGTCTACCGTTGTTGTTAGGCCAGCATAGCTTCGATCTTCTTTCTGGCTGGCTATTACTTTAAAGTGGTAATGAATTTCCGTTTGGACTGAGTTCAGAGGGACTAGTGTGTCTGTTGTATTGGAGCTTTCCTCTGACCGTCCCCTGGCCAGCTCGTCAGCTTTCCCGTTTCCAGGGATGTCGTTGTGTCCGGGTACCCAAGCTATTTAAACCCTGTTGTCCTCTGATAGTCTACTTTGCATTTCTCTCTTTGCATTTGGCCACTACTGTTTATGTTCTTGCTTTTGCGATGCTTTTTTGATGGATGGCTTTCTGAATAGATCCTTACCTTGGTGTCCCGATGGTCTCGATTTATTTGGAGTTCGACTGCTCTACGTATTACAAAGACCTCCGCTTTCGGCGAAGATTCCGGCCCCTACACCGCACCTCTTCCTTGAGCCGTCGGTGCAGAGCGATACATCATCTGGCTCGTTAAGGATCTTACTGTGCACGGTGTGGTAGTTCTTCCATCTCTGGATTGCGTTCAGTCGTATCGCACTTAAGTCTGCTGTATTCCTGATGAAATGTCCTATTAGAATAATATTTGGATGACATTAAGCGCAGCCACGGGATATGATCTTAGTTCACCCGTTGCACCTGCGCATGCCAATCTCTGAATCCTTGTCAGTTTCTGGATGTTGTAGGCCTTAGTTAATGCTGGCCACCACACTAGTGTTCCATAAATAAGTATGGGTCTTACAACCGCTGTGTAGAGACAAATTATTAGCTTGGGGTGGATGCCCCAGTTTTTTCCGAACATCTTCCTACAGGAGTAAAAAGCAATGCTAGCTTTTTTGACTCTTTCGTTGATGTTTTGTTTCCATGACAGCTTTGCATTTGGTATCACCTTCAGTTACTTAGCTTGTATCGATAGTCCAAGTTCTATGTCTTCTATCTGAGATTTATTGAAGTTGGGAATCATTGTTCGTCTTGTGAAGAGCATAAGCTCCGTTTTACCTGAGTTGATGCCCAATCCACACGCTTTTGCCCATGCATTGAGTTTGGTGAGTGCCCTTGTCATCAGTTCGCTGATGATTTCGGGGAATGATCCTGAAGTCAGTAGGAGTGTATGTCATCCATGTTTATCAGCCACAGCAGCGGGAACAGAACTCTCCCGTGAGGAGTGCCTCTTTTCATAAATCTTGTGTAATAGGTGCCACTCAGTTCGGCTGTTATCCGTCTGCTCGTTAGCATTGCCCTAAGCTCTGATGCCTTCTTCAACTTCTATCTTTTTGAGGGAACTCAGGATGGAGTTTGCGTTTACGTTATTGAAGCCCCCCTCAATTTCTATGAAGGTGATCAAAGTGTAGTTCTTGAAGAGCAGTGCCTTTTCTATGTATCGTTCCAATTATTAAAGTACGGACTCTGTGGATCTGCCTTTCCTGTATGCATGCTGTATTTCAGAATGAGTTTGTATGTTTTTTCTGGTATCTTGTTCAACCTAGTCGTGTCTTTTATTCCTTCTAGCGATTTGCAATTGCTGCTCCAAGAGTGCTTCTTGGCTGCGTATATCGCTGTATTGAAGGCCATTCAAACATTTTTCCTGAGTACGTTAGTACGGCTTTTTTAGCCGATTTTTGCTTAACTTGGTTAGGCTTCGCTCTTTTCTGTCGGTAATATATATATAAATATATTCATAACACTGTTACATTTCCACAATGCAGGACATAAAAGCAAACGGAGCAAACTCTGACTGGATTCTTGATTCCAAATTTTAGAATCGGTACATCGTTGCTGGAACATTTGGAGCACAAAACACGACCACAATGGCGACTTAAAATAAAATCAACATATAAGATGGAATAGTGTAATTTGTATAATACTTACCAATGGTGTTTCCGCATGGTTATTGTAAATTTTATATTGCATTCTTGGCATAAATCAGACTCAGACCAAGGTGATTCCTGTGGCAGTTTGTCTAACAAATTGTGAAGAAGTTGATCCGTAGCCAACTTGAAATTAAAAATATTTATACCTTCCCTATTTTCAGTGGCAAGACACGCTCCTGCTTTTACCAGTACTTTACAGAGTGGCGATTGACCACGCATAAAGGATAGCAGAAGTGTTTTATTTCCATCAAGGTCAGGGGTGTTTATTGGGTATTTTGGCATACATTCTAAAAATAATTCGCAAATGGTTCCTGCTGTATTATCTTTCACAACTCTACAAAGTTCATGCATTGGATTTCTACCTCTTAAATTCCTTGCCTCTGCATTTACTCTTGATTCTGTTAAAAGTTCGCCTACAATTAAAAACTGACCGCCATGTACAGCTAGGTGTAGAGCATTGTTTCCATCAGCATCAGTTGCGTCATAGTCAGCACCGTTTTGAATTAAAGCACATACTGCAGAAAGATTGCCGTGTTCAATTGCAATGTGTAGGGGCAATTTTTGAAAAGCATCACGCTCATTTAAACGAGCACCAGCTAATATGAGATTTCTAATTATCATTTCAACTTGTGATGCAGCTGATAAATGTAAGGGCGTTGACTGATTAACATCATGAACCCGAGAATTAATGTCTACTTGAATAGATAACAAAACAGAACGGTTTCCAAATCATCTTTTATAATAGCCAAATGCAAAAAATTACGGCCTAGTTGATCCATTTGCTCAGCTGCAGTTGGAAGTCGCTCTAAAATGCGTTGCGCCGCCTTGTGATTTCGAGTGTCTAGAGCGGATGCAAATCCGGTGTTTCCAAAGCTGTCTCTAAGTTTCAAATCTATTAAAGGGTGACAAAATAGAATGTTTATTATCTCATCATGTTGATTTTCTATAGCAAAAGCTTAGGGGTGAGTCACCATTAATATCAATGGAATTAAAGTCATCATTTTGCAATCTAGCTTTCATCTGAACAAATGCTTCTAATGCATCAATGGCATCTGCTTCAACTGCCATGTGAATGGGTGATTTTAACCCGTTTTTTATTGATTGTATATTGCATGACGCTCCGTTGATAATCAATTTTTTTATCAAGTTTGACATGTTTTTAAATGATGCAATATGTAATGCAGTTAATCCACTCTTATTTAAGTAATCCAATTTGGCGAAGTCTGTAAGAAATACAGCTGCACTCTCGCGTTGTTCATCCAAGGCGAACACCTGGAGAAGGCTATTTCCTGTAGCTGATTTAATTGGATTCGGTTCGGCACCCATTTTTAAAAGTCTTGAGGCAAGTTTAAAGTTCTTCTCTTGGAATGTTAAGCTAAGCTCCAAAGCACATTTCTCTTCCAAAGTGCGCAAGTTAATATTAATGTTAGGCACTTGAAGTAAAAGCTTGATCATTTCTGTATTTTTTCTTGTAATTGCTATATGTAAGGGAGTTTCTCCATTCTTATTTTGAATATTTACATTTGCATTTTTTTGCAAAATTTGTTTGCCAATTTGTAGTATTTCTCCAAATATGTTTTGATTGTTCCGGAATTCATCATATGTACATATAATATGCAATGCAGTATCTGCAGAAGATCTAAGGACTTCAACGTATTAGCATTAAACTTAAAAGATAATTGTCTTCGGCAAACCGGAGTTTATATATATCTGTGTGGTTTACATGAGTACAATAACGTAAAGAGTAATGCTAACATAAGATAAATTCACTTAAAACGTCAGCGAAATTTATATTTATAGCCATGAGACCAACGAAATTAAAGAAAAGGCGCGAAAATAATCACGTTTACACCAGTTTTTTGTAAACAAACTATATACAGACCAGACGGACATGGCTAGAACGACTTCTCCACTGCGTAAAAAAACTTTGGACTAAAAGTAAAAATATAATTAGGGAAGATAGGTAAGGTTAACTTAGTTTTTATTCCTAGTTCTTGAAATAATTGCTGCACAACGAACCTGTTGAAAAAGTTGAGCCCCGGTAAGCCCATAATTTTTTACAATTCAAAGCGAAGGTTTTAGTCGTTTTCATAAGGATGACTTTAGAAACTATTAGTAATAATTTTGAGATAGAAACTGCATAGTGCCCGGTGTGGTAGTTCTTCCAGCTCTGTCTTGCCTTCAGTCGTACGGCACTTTAGACAACTGTATTCCTGATTAAATGTTCTATTGGAATAATGTTTAGGATGACATTCACCGCTACCGCGGGCCATGATCTAAGTGCACCCAACTGTTATGTGAAGACAACCATCCGAAATAATCAATGAAGATCCAGTTATTTCTTTTGCAGGGAGACATCAGTCTCCTCCGATATAATTTTATTGAATGATTTCTAAGCTTTAGTGCTGTCCACTGTAAAACAGTGAGCAGCCGTTTTACATACATTTTATTTTGCCTTATTATGTACAGCAATGGAAACGTTTCTGGCTAGCTGAGAGAATCATTATTTCTCTTAATTCTAGCTCTTTTATATGCAATTTCTAATCTACATTTACTTTCCTTAGCATAATCATATATATTATATAAGGGTTCTATGTTGTCTGTGCTATTAAAATGTTGAAGTAAATTGTTTGTTTTACCGAAAACAAGTTAATATGGACAATAGTCATGTGCCATAGATGGGGTTATGTTGAAACAGTAAACGAAATATTGGATCCATACGTCCCAATCAGTTTTATCAACCGATATATATGAACGTATGTATACATTAAAAATTCTGTGACTTCTTTCGACAGTTCCAACTGTCTGGTGGTGGAGTGCAGTTGATTTTATATTATTTATTTATAAAATTGCACAAATCATTTATTATAGAATTTTTGTATTCTGTTCCCGTGTCCGTAATGAACGTCTTCATTGGACCGTTTTTAAGAATAAAATTCTCAAAAATCGCCTTTGCTACTGTGTTAGCATTTATGTTTGGAATTGGAATCGCGACTAGATATTTAGTCAGATCACAAATTAATGGGACTGCGTATTCATTTCCATTGCTCATTTCCTGATAGTGGACCAATGGTGTCTACCATAACCCTGTCGAAAGCATATATTGGCGTATCAGTTATTGTTAAAGGAGTTTTTATTTTTCTTGTCACTTTTGATTTTTGACATTTTCGTTTATACTTAGTAATATCTCGAGTCATACCTTTCCAATAATGACGTCTTTTGACATTGGCCAAGGTTTTTGAGATGCCTGTGTGACCTCCTTATATTGGATCATCATGGAATGTAGACATTAGAGCTTCTTTTCTTTTATTGTTTCTATTTGGGTCACCGGGTTGAGTAGCGCTACTCTCAATGAAATTAATATATTATTTTCCATATTTTTGAAATTATCAATTGAAACGTGTTCAAAGATATTTTCCCACGGTGCCACTTTGAGTTGGCTGATTTTATTTGTACCGGCTTGCTTTTCAAGCTTTTGGAAAAATTGACCTAAGTCAAGAGTTCCATTGGTATATAAATCGCTAACATCAAATCTTGCAGTAATTTTCCATGTTTAAACAGACATAGCATATTTTTTACGTGCACTACTTTACGTACTTCGTCATTGTTTATGACTTCATATACGTTGGGCTTTAAAGCTTTTTCTATAGATTGCCTTGGCAATTCTATTATTTCTTTTCTGCGCAGGAATTTTGTCTACTTTGATATCTTGTAGAGACTTTCTTTATAGATCCATTTATTTTTTGTAGCTGCTGAATGGTTATTCTTGATAACACATCCGCTAAAAAATTGTCTATACAATTCAGATATTCGACTGTAAAATTATACTCCTCTAATTGAAGTCTCATACCAGTTAGCTTAGAGCTTGGATTTACCATTGAGAACAAGTATATTAATGGTCTGTGATCTGTTTTGACAGTAAAGTGTCTACCATAAATATATGGTCTGAAATAAGTTATTGGCCTGACTTGCTGCCAATTCTTGTTCTGTTGTACTTTTATTACTTTCACCCTTAGTAAACGATCTTGATGCATAAGCAACTGGAAGTTGAAGTCAATTTTTGTTTTGAGTTAAAACTGATCCACATGCATGTTTACTTGCATTGTATTTTAATAAATTCGGATTTATTAGTGCCGATTTGAGATGTTCGAAGGCATGCTGATCTTAATATGTGACGAGCACAGTCGGCAAAATTTTTGATAAAACGTCTATAGTAATTGCAGAATGCAATGAATCGTCTAGCGCTGTCCGCATCATGTGGGACTGGGTAATTTTTAATGACGTCGTATTTTTTGTCGTCAGGCAAGATTACTTTATCCGTGCATTTGTGTCCCAAAAATGTGACTTCATGCATGAAAAATAAACATTTTTCAGGATGTAATTTAAGATTGTATTTTCTACATTTCTTAAAGACATCAGTTAAGTTTTTGAGCATATGTGTTTCTGAACAACCAATGACTATTAAATCTTCCATATACAGGAAAGCTTGTATCTTTAGACATACTTTTCCAGTAATAGTGTCTTTTTACTTTAGCCAAAGTTTTTGATATGCCAGTATGACCTCCTTGAATTGGATCATCATGAAATGTAGACAATATTGCTTCTTTTTCTTTTAAATTTGTTATTTGGGTCATCGGGTTGAGTAGCGCTACTCTCAATGATTTCAGTGTTTTATTACCCATTGTCTTGAAATTATCTATTGAAACATGTTCAAAGATATTTTCCCACGGTGCCACTTTGAGTTGACTGATTTTATGTATACCTGCTTGTGTGTCAAGCCTTTGGAAAAACTGACCTAAGTCAAGAGTTCCATTGGTATATAAATCGCTAACATCAAATCTTGCAGTAATTTTCCATGTTTAAATAGACATAGCATATTTTTTACGTGCAAGGTCACTACTTTACGTACTTCGTCATTGTTTATGACTCCGTATACGTTGGGCTTAGAAGCTTTTTTAATAGTTTGCTTAGGTAATTATATTTCTTTATTTTCCGAGCGGTACTTTTGTCTACTTTGATATATAGTAGCGACTTTCATTATATTTCCAGTATAATTTTGTAGCTCTTTAATGGTTATTCATGATAACGCATCAGCTACATAATTGTTTTTCCCTTTAAATATTCGACTGTAAAGTCGTATTCTTCTAATTCGAGCCTCCTACGTGTCAGTTTAGAACTTGGATTATTCATTGAAAATAGAGGTCTGTGATCCGTTTTAATTATGAAATGTTTTCCATAATTATACGGTCGAAAATGTAATATTGCCCAATGAATCGCAGCTAATGATTGAATGAATGAATTCCTGCTCAGTAGTACACTTGTTACTTTCTCCTTTTGTAAATGCTCTTGATGCGTATGCAATGGGAAGTTGGATAACATCATGGTTTTCAGTTAAAACCGCTCCACATGCTTGCTTACTTGCATCTGTTATTATAGAGAATTCTTTAGTAAAATCTGGTTATTGTAGCAAAGTGGGTTCCATAAGTTTTGTTTTTAAATATTGAAATGCATTTTGACAATCATCCGTCCATTTAAAAGGAACATTCTTTTTAAATAATCTTGTTATGTGCCTTGAATAATCGGCGAAGTTCTTTATAAAACGTCTGTAATAGTTACAAAATGCTACGAAACGTCTAGCGCTGTCCGCGTCGTGCGGCACTGGGTAGTTCATATTGACATCGTATTTTTTGTCGTCTGGAAGTATTCCTTTATCAGTGCATTTATGACCTAGAAAAGTCACTTCATGCATACAAAATGAACATTTTCCTGGATGTCACTTCAGGTTGTATTTCCTACATTTCTCAAAAACATGTGTTAAGTTCTTAAGCATATGTTTTTTCGGAACAACCTATTACTATTAAGTCATCCATATAAAGAAATGCTTGAGAAGGTTCTAGACCAGAGAATGCAATAGTCATCATTCTTAAATGAATTAGGAGCTATTTTTAATCCAAAAGCGATATAAGGCGTTGCTCGTTGAAAAAGACGTTATATCTCTTGAACTTTTTCTAGTTCAATTTGATGGAATCCTGGCATTATGTCAAGACATGAAAAGTATTTTCCTCGACCTAGTTGATCCAAAATATCATCAAGTCTAGGTAATGGGAATTTATCAGATAGTAATTTTTTATTATTCTGGCGAACATCATTCACTAATCGCCATTTCTTTACATCTGACCCGGGGGATGGTTTCTGAGGAACAAGTAACAATGGGCTATTATATTCGGACACAGATGGTTCAACAATCCCGTCGGAGATTAACTTTCCTACTAGCTATTTTATTTCGTTCACCTGACTATGTGGGCTTCGATAGTTTTTAATATAAA